AAATTACTACATCCACAAACTAGTAATAAAAATATATGCATAAAAGATTCACTTGTTCTATTAGAAATATCAGAGACTGAATTGATTAAAGTAATTCAGGGCATGAAGAATAAAAAATCAGGACTTGATGACATCTCGCCACACCTGCTAAAAAATGTACACCTTATATAATAATATTACATAATAATAGAGTTGATCAATGCTTCAATCAGAGAAGGCATCTTCCCTTCTAAACTAAAAAATCACTAGCCAAACAAATCTACAAAAACGGGATAAAAGAAGACGCAAATAACTATCGTCTAATTACTCTTGTCCCTGCCCTTTCAAAAGTTCTGGAAACTGTAATAGCTAATCAGTTAATAGCATTTTTAGAAAAACACAATATACTTAATAAATCTCAGTTCGGATTCAGCAAAAATAAATCTACTAATGATGCAATTGCCACAATTATTGAAAAAGTAATAGAAAGTTTGAATGATAAAATAAAATGCAACTGTGTACTATTAGACTTATCAAAAGTTTTTGACTGTATTCAACATAACATTCTCATGGATAAATTATACAAATATGGAGTTCATGGTATACTTCATAAGCTAATCAAATCCTATCTCAGAAATAGAACTCAAAACGTAAAGTAACACACACGGAAGGCAATCGCATGAAAGAATATTTGTTAAGTAGCCTCCCAGTAAGATACGGAGTCCCCCAGGGATCGGTCCTTGGCCCATTACACTTCATCTTATATATAAATGATATCCCACATCTAACACAAGGCAGATCAGTAATGTATGCTGATGACACATCAATACTGAATGTAGGAAAATACAGGAATGAGCTCCAAAACACAACTTCAAATAATATAGGAGTGGTAAAGCAATACTTTGAGACAAATAATTTATTTATAAATCCATCTAAAACTCATTATACTCTCTTCCAGACAAAACAATGAAGGCAGGAAAGTAATCTAAAAATACTAAGAACAGGGAAATATCAAATGTAAAAAGCACAAATTCTTTGGGGGTAATAATAGATAATACCTTGAGTTGGGAATTACATATTGACAAAACCTGCACTAGAATTAGCCGTAACCTATTCAAAATTAACAGGCTATCTAAAATACTCGATTTAAATGAAAGAAGAACGTATTACGGATTGATCTATCCCCATCTATCATATGGGATAATAGTATGGGGACATAGTGCTAAGACCCTCACTAGAAGAATTTTTGTACTCCAAAAAAGGGCAGTAAGATACATTGCAGTGCTAAAACACCTAGAATCGTGCAGTGATAGCTTTAGAAATTTAAAGATACTAACAGTATACTCGCTATACATACAAGAAACAATCCTATATGTAAAAAAAAAAAAAAAGTGTAACTGCATAGTGAATGAACAAATACATGATTATAACACAAGAAATAATAAAGACTATCATTATATATGGGCACAACTTACAACTTTATAATAGTAATCTTTCAGAAGCTGACTGTATCTTTCACAATAAATTGTCTGACAACATAAAATAGAAAACAAAAACCACTTCATAAGGGAATTGAAGAAGTTACTTATTATGAGGTGCTATTACTCAATGGAGGACTATTTGAACGATGATTTTGCGAATACTGGCTACTGATATCAGCAGAAGTATAGAGTAGATAATGTATAAAATGTTGTATATCTTATATAATTTTTTGTATTAAGACTGTTATAACTTAATAATGTATATTAACTGAAAGACTTGTCCTAAATCATTGTATCACGATCTACAGGATTAATAAAATGAATGAATGAACTTACCATACTTTCTCTCACAGAAGGAAATATTTCTTCAGCTCTCTGTAGCACAATTCTTGGCATTCCTGTTGCAAGAGAATGCAGAATCATTCATAACCTCGAAACTTTTTCTTATAATACATGTTTTGTGAATTGAAATGAATTGATTTACTAGAATCCTAGTGTTATAGCATCACATTTCTAACAAGTGTGCCTGTATCTAGCCAAGAATATTTGCCCAAGTGTGTAAGGAAACATATTAATGATTGTGTACAAGCATACTGAAGTGGCTTTCTTTGTTCTCACAGCAGAGACTACGAAGCTTACTGTCTTATTAGACGTTGTGTAGTCTAACAGACTTGCTGAAGTTTTGAAGGCAGCTGTTCACCCATTTTGAGTGAAACTCTTGCTTCCAAAACGTCGACAGCTGGCTACCAGAATGCACGTAGTTACATCCTAGAAACAGCAGACCTACTCTACAATTTTTAATACTGGTGCCGCAAAATTGTATTCACTATGCATTTGCATACCCTGCAACTTCCACCAGTTCACCATAGACCATCAGCTCTCACAACTTCCTTTATAAGTCGGACTGATTTGTGTAACAGACGAGATAACGCATAAAAATGTGAATTACTCGTATAATAGGTACGTGTCCATCTGAAAGGGCGTGAGAAGTTTACATGAATCCTAGATGGAACTTGCAACAGCGGAATAATATCACGAAACCGTGCAGTGTTTGCTTCTAGCTATTTAACAAAATATAAGGAAATAACATTGCTTTAGAATGACACAAATGATTCCCCACAGAATACAGACATCTTACAATACTCTAACAAAATACTGAAATAACGTTGAACATCACTACAATACTCCAAGCGCTCTAGACCGGCTTTAGACCAGCCCCGTGAAATTCCCATGTTATTGGTTGGCAACATGGCGGCCATGACACCTCGGTGCAATGCTACTGCCATCTATTTTCATTATACACGAACTAAATTTAAAATGACCAGGGCCGAGAGCACAATCGGTAAGAAGGTATGCTACTTTACCATCTATTTTAAGTGCTCCCTCCTCTGCCCCCTCCAATGCTTTTTTCGCTACTAGCACTAAATACTTTTACAACCACATCTCTTGTACTGCAATTTCTCTTTCCCTCTGGCTTCCCCACCAATATCCTATATG